AAAAAAAAAAAGAAAAGAAATTTTAAATCCGTTCGAACAAATTAAACCGACGGCCCAGCCAATTGACACAAGTGACTTAATTAACACGGCGGGTATCGAGCGGCAAGTATCGGCGCAAGCACAGTTATAGAGAACACTTTGCTTTTTTCTAGAGAGAGAGAGAGAGAGAGAGAGAGAGAGAGAGAGCGAGAAAAAGAGGGAGAGAAAGGAAGGGAGAGAGAGAAAGAATATACAGAAAGCGAGAGCCTTCCTGCATACAAGTTTATCTTCTTTTTCTCGATCCACGTAGCGTGTTCTCAGTGCTCGTTTTGTAGCTTTCGGTTATACGTGTTGTATACTTAACAGAGTTCGCGAATAACAGGGATATATTATTGGTATACTTATGCATTTATGCAAAATTTGAATACGTATTGCAGAATATACACGATATGAAAAAAAGAAAAGAATATAAAATATCCAAAGTATGTATTGTAATACTGATATAAGAAGAAGAGTAAGGCAAATTTAAGCTCCATTTTTTTTTTTTTTAATCAATTAATGTTCATTTAAAAATTTAATTTTGCATAAAATTAATCTTTATTTCTTGAAACAAAAAATTGGAAAAATTCGTTAGATTGAATTGCAAATAAAAGTTAGAAATAATGAATTATTGAACATCCCTGATATTTATTGAAACTCTGTACTACAAACATACCTTCACAGAACGACTCATCACGATGCTTGTATCCTATTTGCTGCTATTCGTGCCGCTTTTTAATTTAATATTTTACTTACTACAATATTAACATAAAACAATAATTGTACAATGTACTGTAGCAGCAAGTTGGATATTTATAAGAAGAATCCACTATTCTCTATGTACAATGTACTGAAACAATTCATACATATATCTTTCAACAAATATCTTATGCTTAAAATTAACGGAAACAATATTATCAACGAGTATTTATTTCTCTATTCTTAATTTTTACATTTTTTTTTTTTTTTCATATAGAAATATGCTTGTATACGATCTCTGCATAATTTATGTTCTATTTATATTCTGGAATTATAAATCGATATTTATTTGTTTTATATTATATTTGCATAAAATGCGTAAATCTGGAAAGAATATTGCTAAATATTTTGCAAGAAATGTTGCAAAAGTATCGACATGTGTACATGTAACATAGAATATAGTGCAATGTTTGTAATGACACGTAGTAGCATATGACTATGTCATTATTAATGACAATTTTATTTCCTTTTGTTATTTACACGTGCATCGTGGCAAAAAAAAAATATGTATTTTTTTTTCTTTGTGAGATTAATTTTTTTTTTTTTTTTTGTACATTTTTATTTCCCAAATTAAATCATATTTGCGTTGCTGCGTCACTTACATTTCTTTTGTCTGTGAACCAGTATTTCGATCTCGTTCATTTGAATTACAATCGTCCCAGTACGGTTACACGCCGCACGTGAATAATTCCGGCAATAAATATTTAGAACGCTTGCATTATCATAAAATCGATAATTAATGTTGCAGCGCATCATACGCATGATCTGTCATTAATTAGCTCAATGTTCATACGTTGTTGTCATCACGATCATAAATACAGGACGCATCGGTCAAGATACGTTTAACAAAAATTACAGATGTTTTAAACCTATGGGAATTATGTAGCAACGATTAATGAGACAAAAAAATGTGAAATCCCCTTTTTATCAGACCCAGATAGCACAGAGATATCTTTTAAACGTTTTTATGATATAAATCTTGAAAATATCTTTTCAATTTTAATAATTATTAGAATGGAAAAAAATAATCATCTCTTGATATATTCTTAAGTTAAAATTCATTTATAAACATGTGTGGAATAAATATATTGAGTTCTCTATCACAATAATTTATCACAATATGAATAATTTGTGACAAATGAAATTGCTGAATATCATAGCCACCATCTTATAATAACATGTCTCAAAATATTTAAACGAATATTTTTAAACTTTGTCTGAATTATAAGTAAGTTTAATTTATACCAGCATTTAATGATACACATCTGATTAAAAAAATTATTCATAATTTTATAAATTCAGTTTCATTGATTATATATCATTTTCAAGTCCATTATTTTAAAATACTTTAAAAATAACAATATATTTATCAAAGAAAAATTTCGAGTTATAGCGTTATTAATATAAAATTTGAAAAAAAATTAAAAAAAATCTTGTACTATCTGGGATCTATTATCAACATCGAGCACAATAAATCGCAATAGTTCCCGTTTTCCTTGATTCGCATAGTCTGTATGCTACGTACCGAGCCAAAGCATCGTGTGATTCATCTCTTAATCTATATGATCCGATCCATCCATCGAAACAGAGAAAGGAAAATCATTGGATTTAACGCGATCGTTCGATTTATATTGCAGAGTTTTCAACAAAGTGAAAAGCAGAAGCGCGCACATGAAATCCCACAGGCCGGTACCCTCGCCCGATTCAACGGGGCAGGAATCTAAGAGGCCTGTCCAACAGCAATCCAAGACGCAACAATCCCAACAATCCATCCAGCAACAGCGTCAACAGCAGCAGCAGCAGCAACCGCAACAGCAGCAGCAGCAACAACAACAAGCGAGCAGCGTTTCATCACAGGCCCAAGATTTCAATCAGCAGCAACTGCCTCCCAGCAACGGCGACACCGGCGCTCAGAACCCAGCGCATTTATGGCACAATCCGACACGGTTCAGGCCACCATAGGACGATGCCCAGCCGGTTCAACTAAAGTTACCTTAACGAAGGCTGTAACGGTACGGTAGGAAAGTATTTTACGGTCGCGCGAACTACGCAATAGAACAGGCACTATACTATAAAAAATAGGATAGAAAAGAAAAAAAAAAAGGGGGGAATGAAAAGAGAACAATAAATTCACGAATCGTCGAAAGGATCGCCGTCAGACGATCACGATGGAGGAGAACGTTAAGAATTAGGTGATCTCCCCAAATGTCGTCCGCCATTAGAGCCAAAGTGTCTCTGACATCCTTCCTGGCACAACAGGCGAAACAATTTTAGGCGAGATAAAGTAAACGGACACTTCCACGATAGATAATATAGTTCCAAGAAGAAAGATGAAAACGAAGAGGAGAAGGAAGGGAAGAGTAATAATGAAAAAAGGAAAAAAAAAAAAAAAGAAATAAAAACGAGAATACCTCTTATAATACGCACTATGGACCTGAGCGAAGCGAAATCCCGCGTGTTCTCTGCAGCCAGGCCAGCCATACACCATAAATTAAATACCTACGCGATCATACATATGAAAGAAGTGCGAAACGCGTGCATCGAAAGATGAAGCTCGCGAGGTACCTCTATCGTCGTTGATCGAAAAACAAACTCTCTGGCCAGGATCGATTCTTCTAGCTTCTTTCTTTTCCTTTCTTTTCTTTCTTTTTTTTTCCCCCCTCGAAGAAATCTAAACACACAGAATCGAGACGAAACGGGGATAGAGGTCCCTCGAGGGAATTGTACTTCGCAGCCGTAGTCGAAGCTCTGTTCAACGAGGAGACAGGGTAACGGAAGTCCTTCTATTCGTGTTAGAAACGTGGAATGGACGAAACGTCGCGACGGCCACCGATCAAAATCGATCGATTGGATCGTCGATGGGATAATAATCGAACGTGCAAGCTTTCTATTTCTTTGTCTTTTTTTTTTTTAATTTCATTTTCGTTTCTTCGAAGAGGAATAATATTGGATGAACCTAAAAATATTCTAAAGCTCTTACGCGAACGTCAATGTATACGTCGATATTTGTTTCTTCAAATCTTTTTATTTTTCTCGACTAGTAGGTAATTAACAGGGGCTAAAAGTTCATTGGACGAGTTGAATGGGGGAATTGGTCACGATTATTCGTGGTTTTCGATGTGTACCTATTATGACTATATACGCACGTGAAATGTTTCCTGGATTGTGCCACAAGACATTACAACTGTTACCTGTTGCTCCTCCTTGTCATTCTTTTTTTTAAATCATTTGCCTTTCTTTTTCCTTACTCTTACTTCTTTTCCTTTATTCTTCTTATTGTTTATTATACATATATATATATATGCGCTCACGGGAATCAGCTCACGAATCGAAATATTTAATCCATCAAGAATCAAAACTTGAAAATCTTTGGAGAAGATTTACTCTAGATATAAAGTAAAAATATTTCTATTCGAATATTTTTCAACGATGGGAGGGAAAAAAGGGACGTAACGTGATCAAAATTTGTTTTAGTTTTAAGAAAAATGAGGTCAGAATTAAAGAAAAAAGAAAAAAAGAGAAAGAAAAAGAAAAATTGAATCGAAGAATTTCGTTATTTTAAGAAAAGATGATGATCCGTGAACCGGAATCCGTCGTTCTAAAATTAATACGACTTGTTGCACGTTCGCTCTAGTTCTACTTAGTTTAAAATTAAATTAGCGTATTTAAATGTCGATAAGTAAGCGATCAATTGTCAAGAGAAAACGTTCGTAGATTTGTTGAAGCTCCCCAAGATTTTTGTTACCTCTGTTACTTAAATATATATATAATATATATATTAACTATATTTGTGTCAGAATAAATTTTAATATATTATATATATATATATATATATATACATATATACATATTATACATATGTATAAACAGATCGATGTAATTTGAAAAACGATTTGTAGCCTAGATAAAATATAGTTCTATCATAGAAGAAAGAGAGAGAGAAACTGAGAGAGAGAGAGAGAGAGAGAGAGAGAGAGAGAGAGAGACGTTGTTCAAGTTTCACTTCGGCTCGCGATCGATCGTGCGATCGCGATCAAACTGTAACATAATTGATTATATACATACAGCCATGAATACATTATACATATATATATATATATGTATGTACGCGCATCGAACGAACAGACACGCGGTAGAAAGCGTTTATTTATTAAAATATGAATGGAAATGAAAAGGAGAAAGGAGAGAAGCGTGAGAAGGGGAGTGAAGAGGATTATTATTCGACTAACAATGATAAACGTTAGAGATCATCAACTCTATGTGTACATAATCCGTGTACATGTCTGTACATAATTCTAAACGTCAGTGTCTGTATGTACAATTCGAATGAATTTTAAACGCAAAAATAAAAAATATACGTAGGCTAGGTTTTAGGTTGTTTTAGGAGGGATATATATTATAAATAAAGTATATATACTTGGCTTGATTTTCTACCTTACTAGGGACTACGAGGCGAGACTCTTGGGGCAAACTTTTTGTGTCGCCTGGATTATCGTAATCTTTATCATTTCATCTTGAATAAAAATAACGATGTTCCTGTATGTAAGGTGCCTTAAATGATCGTTTGTGTTTGAAAAAAATGACAGATTGTTTCTCTTTTTGTATTTTGAATTTTATTTGATAAGCATTTTTAAATATATATATATATATATTTCGAATAATTATTTTAATGATCATCGTTTGATTAACATAAGTGTTATCATAATAAAATTTCAATGTTATATTTGTTTTAAATTATGTTTCATTATATTGCTTTTGTCTGTTTTCAGTATACATGTATATATATATATATATAGGAACATCGTACGTTTTCGCGATTAAAATAATAAAAGAAACGTGTTGACACGAGCCTCGTACAATGTTTCACGATTCGTGTGAACGCGGTAACGTGTTCAATGCACATACGTCGATACGCTGATCGACACATTTAATAGATTGTTATTCAAGAGTTTATCCGCCGATCGTAGCTGCTCTAACTCTACCTTAAAGATATTGTTATTGTTAACACTCTTCTTCTTATTAACTTTTACCATTAAAAAAGGAATTAAAGGAAAAAAAAAATCATGATATACATTTTAACTTTTTAAACTTTTCACGTGTAAAAAAAGGGGAGATATGCTAGAGAGAAAGATGAGATGCAAGTGACTGAGGATACTTTTAAAAGAATCTGCCAAGTTTTGAAGGGAAACAAAAAGGGAGAAGATAAATGAAAGAAAATTGAGGATCCATGTAAACGATGGCTTTAAATTTTCCAATGTTTTTTTTTCTTTCTTTTTTTTTTTAGTTCGAAAATATGCAGGCGAAGAATGTTGTAACGTTACGTTATTAGAGATGGCGTGCGTAACAGATAGCATGGAAGATATGAATGCGAAAGATCTAGAGAAACGACGAAAAAACTTTCGTTTAACGTTCGACATTCGAGGGAAGAATTCATTGAATTTTAACAAGCTTACGAGAGAATCGTCTGTGTCTTTTATGCGTGTGTGTCTTGTGTTTCTTCCATGTTTTCCCTTTCCAACCCCTTTCAACCCTCTGATTCACTGGCAAAAAGAAAAAAAAAAAAAAAAGAAGAGAAACGTGTAACGCGCTGTTCAAACGATAAACGTTCCGGCCACGCACCATTCGTTCATTTACAGACAAGAATTGCGTATCGATAGAAGAAAGACGTATTACCAAGGGCACCATTCCATCTAAAGAAAAAAAAAAAAAAAGAAAAAAAAGAAAAAAAAAAGAAAAAAATCATCTCTCCAAATAAGAAAATCGCGCAAAAAAGTAAAATCGATCCTTATTTTCAATAAGTACCTATAAAACGTTCCATGAACACGCAACGAACGAACGAACGAACGAACGAACGTTTCGTTTAAAGAGAGATATTTTTATCACGTTGATCGAATACTTGATGGACGATGGTGGAGGAAGGAAAATAGTATTTTGTCGTTTAAAATTTTTGCGTGTATTTATTTTTCAATCGCTAATTAACCAGATATAATTACGGCCCATGGATATACTTCTTTTACGACCATGATGAGGAACACATTGATGATTTTATAAACTCTGAGTGAACGGCCTCCAGTGGTAAGGATGAATAGCGTAGGGAGAGGGAGGGAAAAGAGGAATAAATCGAATAGCGATAAATCGAGATCGATAATCCTAGAAATCTAATAATTAACTATACTAACTAAGATCCTAGGCGATTCGAGTCTTAAAAATAAGTTCAGTTTAAGGTGTAAAACTGTTGATATGAATTCCGACTACAGGTTCGGTGAATAAGTCGAATGCAACAAAATTAGCAGACATATCATTTAAGACAATACACTTGTTACAGAAACTACGTTTCTACTAATGTAATTCTTATTATATGTATGTAATCTAACTCTTAATCGGACTTAGAGAGATTCGAGGTAAAACGTGGCGTAGTTAGTGATAAAAGAAAAAAGAGAAAAAAAAAAAAAAGATGGAAGAATGGAATGGGAGAAGTGAGGAGAAAGAAGAAAGCGTTCGTATTATATTAATATTGAAAAATCAAATCCAGAGAGTCAATTGTTGACTAGTGTTAATCGTTGAAATAATCTGATCGAATATTTCAATATCATTTCTACTCGAACCAAACATTGTAACATTTTGTATAATTTCGTCAAATTGTGTTACGAATTTATATACGAAAGGACAAAATAACGATGTACTTAATGTGGATATATGTTATTAATTAACCTCTTAAGCTAATCTAAGGTAAAATTATGTACTTAAGAAATTATTCTTTGTTCTTTCTCGCGTAACGCAAAAAAAAAAAAAAAAAAAAAAGAAAAAAAAGAAGAAAATGTTCGACACTCTGGATTTATTTAAGCGGCGTTTATAAAGCGAAAGGCAATTCTGGAGGCTGATTACTCAGAAATCGAGGAAAGGTTAACGATAAAACGAAGCAATGAAACAGTAACGAAGATATGCATGAATTGTACAAACGAGTCCCTCCACGTCACAGAAAAAAAGAATGATATATATATATATCTATATGAAGAATATATATATAACAAAAAAAAAAAAATGATAAATATGTGATGTATTTAAATGGTATGTGGTATATGGTATTACATATTTGTACATAGGCGGACCCGTGCCATCAACTAGTGAGTTGTACCGATATTGTACTGCCATTAGTCGAGTTAGTGGGTAACATCGAGTGAATGAATTATAGATTAACGATGAAACGGATTTTCGTTTCATTTTTTTTGTTTTTCCTTTTCAACGTTAAAAGTGTATAGATGATGAACGAAACGAATATAATGGATTTAAATTCGAAGGTTATATTTTAATTCTGTTCATGTTTAACTAGATCGTGAGTGAAATTAATTTTTAGCGAAAATGTAGTTTAAACTTGATAGAAGACAAAATTGTTATGCGTTTTTTATTTAATATTATATTAGATGTTATCGACAATTATTTAAGCTCGTTTCAAAAAAAAAAAGTGTAGTTTGAATTTCTTTTTTTTTTTTTTTCACAACACGCTGATTAATTTTGAAGCTTCGAGCAATGTCGTGAAGTACAAGATTATTTAATAATATATGTATGTTATATTAGTTAATTTAACCGTGTTAAGCAAACTATAATTCTATCGTTACCATTGTTTATTGTGAATCCGATTAATTATTCGATTAGTCAAATTTTATTAATATTTATTTTACACGCCATAACTCGTATGTTTGCAAAATGAGAATAATAAAATTGTCTTAATATAATTGAAGCAATGGCGAGATTACGTTGCGAAAATATATTGGTACAACTCGGCGAAGAAAGTGTAGCGTGGTTATACACCTGAGGAATGTGCTCAAAATACTGTATTAAAGAGAAAAAAAAAAAAAAAATCTACTAAATGATCATCAACGTTTATGCAAGAAAAAAAAAAACTACTCTTAAACAAGTGAAAAGTTATTTATTCGATTATATTGATATCGTAATCTATTGTCCTCTAACCTATTACCTACTTTAATGTCTATCTCTATACGCCAGCATGGTTCTTTATACTCTTCTATTTGATGTTAATACACTATTCTCTATTATAACTTTTACTACGACGGAGAAACAAACGAAATGTATTGTTAAAATAGTGTTTTTAAATGTATTCGAAGTGCATGGTCAGCTGTAGGGGAGCCACGGATACGTAATGTCGCGTTTCACATGAGAACTGGTCGGTCGATTCGATTCGAAACGATAAAAGAGGAAAAAGAAAAAAAAAAAAAGAAAAAACTGAATAAATTCATAAAACGCGAAGCAGTAGAAATCTTTGATCTCTTTTGCACAAAACTATCGTAACTCTTTACCTTTTTCTCCTAACGATTTGTAAGATTAGATTTCTTTAAATAACACGTCAAATATTAACCTATTTCGTTCGTTCGATACGAATATAATAATCTTCTCGTTCAAAGATCCCTAAAACAATTCTTGTCCACAATCTATTTTGATCGTAAGAAAAAAAAAAAATAGAAAATCATTTGGATGAATGTCAGGGCAGCACGGTGCAAAGTATTCATGTGACGCGGACATTTTCTATCGCACGGTTATTATCGCAATAATTACGATAGAGTGAAAGAAGAAAATGTGTGCTCGGTAGCAATATCGGTGTGGACGTGTGTCCGCACTGTCGTTGTTTTTTCCACTTCTCTGCTCAACTAGTTCTTACCTGTAAGGAGTAGTAATGTATACATTAAATATCTTCGTCACCGAGGTTAGTCTTTTAAACAAAACAATAAAAGAAAGAAAAAAGAAACACAAAGTTCTCTCTCCGACTCTTGTATCGTCTTTTGCTCAAAAAAACTCGCGGAAAATATAAAGAAGTTGAAGATGCCGGTTTTGTTCCGGTCGAAAAAAAAAGGCGCGGTCGAACCTCTCGTAATTCTACAAAAATTTAAAAAAAAAAAAAAAAAAAAAAAAAAAAAAGGAAAAAAAAGGAAAAAAATTTGCAATGATATCGCTCAAAAGTTGGTGCCATAAGCAATATGGACAATATATTATTAATTGTGTTAGATGACGTGTGCGCTAACTACAGCTGGCCGAACAAGAGATTCCATTTTAAGGGGATCTAGGGACGAAACGTCACGTGATCATCTCTCATCTGAGCGATGTTATCATTCATTTTACACCCAATGTTTCAATAAATGTATGATCTTGCTTCTTTCATCTCTCAATCCATCAAAAGTTCGGATTAGCAAGTATATATACCACTTTTAGCTGTATTCCGTAGATTATTCTCTATCGAATATTCTTTCTCGACTAAAAAAAGAAAAAACGAAAAAAAAAAAAGATTCTAAATCTATGCTCATGAGAAAAAATCACGTGGCGGGACTTTCTACACACTTACACACACAGTTCAGTCAATTTGAAGCGCGATGTGGTATCGAGTCGTCAACGAAAACGATCGAAAATCGATCCAAAGGCCTATTAAACCGATTTTCTCCCCGATTCACGGAGGGGAGAGGAACGAAAGAACCCCCAAGTTAGGAGGCCTCGAAAACCCCTCGACACACGACTCCACCACATTGATCTTCGGCCAAGTTAAGATGGCACAAACGTCGTGGCTGATCCCGTAAAATCCGACGCGCGCATCCACGATTCTCGTCGATACAATCGTTCGATCAATCGATTAACACGTCGATTTTGTCGACAATTCAACGAAACGGCCTCGTGAAAATTTCGACATCACTGTGTTATATTATAATCTCTTTCTTAATATATCGATAGCCACATACGATGTAACCGCTTGCTTTTCATTCGTCATTTTTAACGACGAAGTTTTGACGAAGTCTTCGATCGAGGTGCCACTCGCGATATCCCCGCATGAATAATGCGAATAAATGATGAATATGGAAAAAAGAAAAGAAAAGAAAAAAAGAAAAGAGGGTCGAGATCGACGAGAATTTTCACTCGCGCGCGTTTAGCGATTTTTAAATGTCAGTCGACAAGAAATCAAAGGGCTCGTGAGATCCGGCGAAAGCGTGGATGCGAATGAGGATACGAAGTGAAATGGTTCAACGAACGAGGAGAAAGTAATAAGATAGAAGCGACACGTGTTTGGCTTAGCCGGAGCGACGAGTTTCTGTGCATCAGTATTACGTTCGAAGAGCGATACTAATATACATTGGTCTAGTGATTATACATTATATTGCGTACATACAATTTTATTTAATATACACATATAAATATATATATATATATATATATATATTTTGAATATGAAAGGGCGATATTATTATTATTATCATTATTATTATTATTATTATTATTAACTATTAATTATTATTAATTATTATACGATAGATATATGGGAATATATGTATATGTATATATGTATACAAATATTTATACATATATATAAATATATATATATATATATATATATATATATATATATATATATGTATGTATGTATTCACATATACTATGGACGCTAATTATGTGCAGGGAGTAGGAAGCGGCGGCGCGCTTCGCGATAGGTCACGGTTTAAATCTCGATGTTGTTCGTTCAAATGAAGTGAAATAACAAGAAAAAAAGAAGAAGAAGAAGAAGGAGAAGAGAAAAAAAGATAGAAGCTTCGATGGGATTTCGGTGCGATAATAATAATCATAAGGGGAACGGGGTGATATTTGGGGGGAGGGGGATGATTGCTTACTTCGTTATTCAATTTTTCCAACAACGTGAAGCTCCCGGCGGTGTCGTCGAACGATACACGAAACGATTTTCACAGGTTGTGAGTCGACTTCTCGTGCTCGTCCCGATCGATTTTTTCGACAAATCATCGACGATTTCTATGACAATGAATTGAATTTCCGGATGAAGAGATGCAGATCGATCCGCTAGTTGGAAAAAATTTCGAAAACGATCCACGAGCCTCGAGACAAGTCGACGATATATATATATATATATATATATTTTCGCGGATCAACCGAATGGAATGTTTCGGTTTTTTCACGATCTGTTCGGACATTCGTCCATTCGATGGCCGTACAAAAGCAGATACTATACGAAGAAAATCCTGGCTCACGAGTGCACGAGAATGTTAAAAAGTGTAGAAAGATGAATAAATAATTGTCGCCTCGGATATAAGGACAAGCGTGAAAGGGAGAGAAAGAAAGATGTTTTAATACTCACAAATGTAATGTACGATCTATATATATATATATATAACCATCGTTTATAAATGGATATAATATAAATATGATGAACATATGGATATATAAAATGTGTATACATATATATACATTATTATTGTACATGATTAATGTATATGTATATATACATTTGCAGCGATAAATATTAATATAAATATATATATAGACTATTTTCTTCTATTGGTATTGTGAGTGATCGTTGCGCGTTATTTCCATCATATGTCGCAAGACATCCTGCAATCAAGGAGGAGACACAAAACGTACGATTTTAATCGATATTTCGAACATATTGTTGCTGAATTGTAAGATAAATTGATGTGATGTAGCGTTGAATTTCGTTTTGGATAAAGATTTTTTCAAAGAAAGAATGTAAAAATGACTCGTTGTTCGTGCATCTATTTAGAAACTTTAATATGGGAAAAATAAAACGTAGGATAATAGAATCTTTTGCAATGTAAGTCGTATTGAATCAATACAATTTACTACCACTTTTTTTCCTATTAAAATTAGTACTAAAAGATCTTATCTTAGAAACACTTTACCTAATAATTAATTTTTAGCGTGAATAAATATACAAGTATCAATTTTACTTGCTTTATTCTTTTATATTTTTGTTCATTCGTTTACTTAAATTTCATAAAAATAATAATAATATTAATTTTAATTCAAAATGTCTTGTAAATAATAATTAGTGATAGTAAATCGAATCAACTTCCTGTCGATTATACAACTTATACAATCGTCGTCTCGTGTCTCTTCCCTCTCGAAGTATGCAGAGCGTCTTGCGCAAGCTATCCCAACACCGAGCTATACCAAAAGCAAGCGAATAAGAAAAAGATTTAAAAAAAAAAAATAAAAAAAAAAAGAATAAAAAATATGTATGATGTGTAAGCCAAGTGCCTTGTGTTCTGGTAACTAATCGTTGACTTTTAACTACGATATTAGAGGAAATGAGAAAACGAGAGAACGAGCGAAAGAAAGAGATACGAAGAAGAAATAAGCGAAAAGAAGAGAGGAGAACGAAATCGAAGATTCTTGAAGTGAGAGAAATTGTACTTCCTTTTACTTTTTCGAACGATAGATAGAATTTTTATATATCCTCTTTTAAAATAATTTTAGTGATATTATGCTATGATGTTCAAATTATTTTTTTTTATTTAAACAAAATTCTTGAATTTATGTATAATATGAAAAAATTATTGTCAATCCTTTGAAATTCTTTTTTTTTTTTGTTTTTTAGAAAACAAATGGAATAATTTCAATTTTTAAAATAGATATATTAATATAAGAATAACTTCAAAGAAATATAAGTATTAAGTATAATTTTCAAAATATATGTAGTCTCATTAATGATATTCATGACATTTTAATGGTATTTTATATCTCAATAAGTTTTAATAATTTAATCAAGAAACATTATCATAGCACAGCAATTTTTATAATTTTCTTTGCAACAGTGTTTGCAACAATCTTTGGAATATAAAAATTCGAAAATCATAGTAGAATTAATTCTATTGCAGATTTAACGACTTAGAAAAAAAAGGTGATATCTCTTTATTCGTTTTTTGAAATACAAATCGATATTTTTTAGATACATGAAAAAAATTCTAAAATATTTAAAAAGTGGAAGATAAGATAAGCATAATCGCCCCTATATTCTCTTTTCCGAAATAATTGTGATTGTAACGATGTGCCAAATTATGATGGTATTATCATCATGAATTAAAATTTACTTTTTCTTTTTTTCTCACCATATAATGAAAAAGAAAACCTTCATTTTGATTACTCATTTTCACTGCCTGAAAAACTTGATTTCTTATATATGAATAATAAAAAGAGTCGTTAATTCTGCAATTACATTCTACAAGAATAATCCTATAATTAATGCTTAATTTCTATTGTCGTTTCAAAACAAAAAAATCAAAATTTTCTTTACATTGTATCACATTAAATAGCGCACAAAAAATATTTGAATCCTTTAGGATTATTGTGACTTTCACGAGTTTCATTACGTAGCAATTTTTGAAAAAAATTTTTCACATAGTAAAAAATAAGAGTGTAAATTACTGAACAAAAATTTATTTTAAAAAGTGACAAAAACAATTTTTATACAATTCCTCAAAAAAAATATATATATATATTGATTAAATTTAGATTTCAACAGCTTGAATATTATTATGAAAGAAAATTTTTTTTCAAAAGTGATGAATTTTCTCATACATTTCATTCCATTCATTACTTAGCCAAGAGCTTGTAGCGATCGGTATACACATATACCGTGATCGTTCTTACGAAAGTTGGCCAGAAGCGAGGCGATCGTATCGCGTGCAAAACTGATTTCACGAATGAAAACGGGGAGAATAGGATCGAAAACTCGATGGCGAAATAAATATCGTCGAGACGTTGTTAGGCTTAGATGACAGAATCACTCCTGCCTCGGTGCACTCTGGGCCCACCTCGCCCTTATTCCCCTGTTAGTGAAAAAAAATAAAAAATAAAAAAATAAAAATGATTATCTAAATAAACGAATAGCAAAAGAAAGCGGAGGGGAGGGGGAGGGGGAGAAAGGAATTTTTCATTTGTAGCGGGAATCGTTTGGTGTTGCGATAGACGACGTAAAGTGAGTTAGATCCGAATGGAGGTTCAAGTGTTGTGTATCTTCGCGTATGTGTATGTACATGTATGTATATTTGTGTGTATATGCTATGTATGAGATATGCATAAAAAAGAAAAAAAAAAAGAAAAAGGTTAAAAGAAAATAGAAGGAGGGATATGCTCGTATGTTTCTTTCCGGCGTGTCTCTACACACATTTAATAACTTAAATAATCTTTTTAAATTTATTGACGAGGAACGAAACATTAGCTATGTCTAAAAGGAATTGATGTACATAGTAGATCTCGATAGATAGGAAAAGTGTCGTGGCCGAGGGAGTTCTGCATCCATGACGCGCTTAAAATGAAATCGCGTAGCCGAGAAAATTAAAATTGTTTCACAATTGTTTCGTGTTTGAAAATTGATATTGGAAGAAGTGAAATTTTGATTGACACAAATTCGAGATAATACGAAATTCGAGAGATTCGAGAAAAAAAATGGCAACGATCGACTGCCTCGTGGATGCATTGAATCGGATGAGAAACCCCTTAAGCAGACAATCCTGTTATTAGTTAGTCCTTAAATACGCGCGTGTCGTGTTTCCTGTGTGTGTGTGAATGACGTGAATGAAAAGTATTATATTAATTCGTAAGGAAATCGAAGTAATTGCGCCTCTTCGTCACCCTTCTATAACCCTGCTCGCCTCTTCCTTATGTTTTCCTCTTTAACTTCAGATACCTAATGTAACCCTAACCTCTATGAAAAGCGGATACGAGGCACTGTGCTTCTTACTCTACTTGGACGGATGAGATATAATCATACATGTTTTTTAACTGCGAAAAGGGAGAAGGATTGATTAAAAAAAAATTTTTAAACAATAAGATATATATTTACTTCGAAGAATCAAATTCCGATCAAAGTGCCAATAAAGAGATTTTTTCAACGTGCATCTTAAATATATAATATATATATATATATATATGTGTGTGTGCATCTTCGTATCCGCTTAGTTAGTACTACTATTGTCGATCTTGCGAAGACTTTTTTCTTCTTCATCTTGAATCTCTTGTAGACACTGGCTTAATCGTAAGCTTTACAAAACGGTTGTAATAGACTTAATATATATACATATATATATATACATATAAATACGTCACTAAGATTTTTCCTGAGAAAAACGAACAGAGTCACTAGTCGCAGTTTTCGCGATTCACGTGTTTTAGAGAAGAACTTCGATTTAACTCGAGAGAAATATGAAATATTTTGTACCGTTTACTTGTTTCCTTTCGAAAGAGAATAAATTTAAGATCGTAGTAATAATAATTGTCGCCTTAAGCGAATCAAGAAATTAGAAAAAGAAGATGAAAAAAAT